CCCATGATGACCTGGAAGCCCAGAAGCCAAGAAACCAAACCACCAGCAGAGGCCCAAACAAGGAGCATGACAGCCGCCACCACGGTGCTCAGATGGCGACACCAGAGTCACCTACCACACCTTAATTGGCCAAGTCTGCACAAAGTGGCCAAAAAAGCTGAAGGTCACAGTCCTCATTGAGAGCTCTCCATGCAAGATGGAGATCAACACGAGGTCATCATTGACCATCATGCCGTGGTCTACACTCAAGCAGGCTATCCCTAGCCTGAAGAAGCAGCATCTTCGCACCCCTGACATCCGCCTTCGCGATTACCAGGGGAACCGAGTCCACATCATGGGCCAGGACACCTTCCAGCTCCCAGTGATGGTGGTGAGTGGTAACCTGCAGAACCTCCTGAGGCTTGACTGGTTCGAAGCGCTGGGCCTAGAAGTGACCAGTATCAACGCCTTGAAAGACAAGCACACTGAAGAATTCTTTAAGGAGTTCGAGGACGTCTTCGGCACCAGTCTAGGTAAGTATGTGGGGACCCCAATCTCTTTTAATTTGGACCCCAACATCCCCCCCATCAGGCTAAAACCCAGGAGAGTACCTTTCATTCTCAGCCCTAAAATAGTTCTGGAAATTGACAAGCTCATAGGCCAGGGAATCCTAGAACCGGTTGATCACGCACGCTGGGAGACCCTATAGTGACACCTGTCAAATCTGACGGGTCTGACCACATCTGCGCAGATTATAAATGCACAGTCAATAAAGCGTTACGACAAAGGGCTTACCCTGTACCCATTGTACAGCACTTATTACATTCCTTAGGCCCCAGCAAAGTATTCGCTAAATTGGACATGGCACAGGCATACCAACAATTGCCTGTAGATGGCTCTACGGCGGAGGCCCAAACCATTGTGATGCACAGGGGTGATTCAAATGTAACCACCTGCAATTTGGAATTAGTATCACCCCTGGACTGCTCCAAAGTGTCATGGAACAGCTTTTGCAGGGGATTCCAGAAGTCGTCTCCTATTTTGACGACATCTTGGTATCGGCTGCAAATGAGGCACAACTTTTCAAATGTTTACGAATTGTTTTGACCAGAATTAGAGACAAATCCTCCATCTCAAAAAAGAGAAATGCCAAATTAACGTGCCAAGGGTTGGATTCTTAGGGTACCTCATTGACAGGTATGGGATTCACCCGACCACTAAAAAAATTAAAGCAATCCAGGACGCCCCTACACCTTGCAATCAGATCATCCGGTGTCCAATGGTCAGGTGGAGAGAATGATGAGATTTGCAAAAGAGGCCCTATCCAGGATGGGCCCGGAAGATTGGCAAACACGGGTTGATCATTATCTTTTAATTCAACACATCATGCCAAGCACTACTACGGGGAGAAGCCCCTCCGAGCTTCTCATGCGTCGCCGGCTAAGGTCCCACTTAGACCGGCTATACCCAAGCTATTCTGCCACACAGTGACATGCGGTGAGTTTTATGGCTGGTGAGGCAGCAATTTTTTTTGACTTCAACTCCCAGAATTCTACAGCCAGGCATGCTCAGTTTCGATTTAAAGCGACAGCATTTGTTTTTCTTCTTTGCTAAATAAGTTTCCTTCTTTTTCTTTTTCTTCTCCCTTCCCCTCCTTCCTCCCTCTCTCCCTCCCTCCGCCCTCTCTCAAACACACACACACATACACACACACAAAGTTGTACCAGGATTCAGAAAATTTAGGT